CGTCATTCTTTAGAAATCATGATAGTCTTATTAAAAAAATCAGCAACTGATAAATTCAGAATATGTAGGTAATAAACTTTGGTGAGATGCCAAGACTCAACATTTTAACTCAGGAAATACGTCACTCGGCTAACTGAACTATAGTCGAAAGATATGAAAATAATAAGAAGTGGATTATGTTCTCTACTTAGTAATAACAGCCGTTGACAAAGTTTTAGATATAATAAAAAAAATACATTATATCTGTATCCAGTAATACATGAGCAAAACTTCCTTATCTAAAACAAAATAACCGTTTTAAAATAAAAGTTCACACGTGTTTACGTTAACATAAGCGCTTCGCAAATTTATGATTTAAATAAATGAAAAACCTTAGTCGTCGCAATATCACATGTCAGGCGAACGTTTCGCTGTGTCACAGACGAGCTGACACTTGAGTGATACAAAAGGTTATTTATTTTAAACTATTTTCCCAGCGAAGTATCAACAGTACAATAATACCTATGTATTAACAACACGTGGAATGTCACCAAATCCTTGTCCGTTTTGTCCCTTTAATCCTTGTTGCTTTCTTATTAGTTACTTGGCTGCCTGCCACATAGCTAAAACTAAACTTAATAAACGAAACTCCATTAGGATTGCTTGTTTCATAAAATGGCCGAGAGCCAATTTAATAAAAAAATAAGTTTCATCTTATTTATTGAACGTACCGTATATTATTGATAATACTGTTTCAATATAATCTGTATTGGGTCTGGATATATCCTTATCGCTGGACGTGTTGAATGTATTAATTAATCCTATGCCTTTGTTTACATCGTCTGTGACATTGAAAAAGATTAGCATTATGACTGGGATAGATATTATAGATGTATATACGACTGATCTCAAATATACTTAAATCACCTCGCAGTTTGAAATACAAATTCAAGTTAGAGGCATTATGAATAAATTTCTTAGCTTTCTTTAACTTGGTGAATATCTTATCATGTGTGTGTCCTTCACTAAATTCAGCTGGCATATTTGAGCCAAGTTTTAGCAAAACAATTGTTCTCTCAACTTGATTTACATAACATTGTTGTCTATTGTCTAATCCGTTTAACTACATTTTGGGATTGTTCAGTGTGTTCTCACTTAGCACTATGTAACTCGGTCATAATGATCGAAAGTGTCTTTAATCGAAAATATTCTCGAATTCAGTTGAAATTATGAATATACCTAATAATTATATTTTTTACTGTATTTAAGAATATATACAATTTCAAATTCCTTTTTTCTTAGTATAATTCGAAAGGAAAGTTATTAGATAAATAACCAATGAAAAACACACGCCAAAGTTACTATCAGGCCTTAAAAGGCTCATAAAGCCCCTAAATAATCATGTCTCGATGCTAAATACGTTCAGTACTTAATCTCAATAACGATAATTAATATTTAATCTAAATTGCACAAAATACGTGTCACGGCAGGACTTAATGACCCGAGATAAAACTGAATTTTGTCGGGTAATGATAATTATTGGTATTGTGCGATAACCTATTTCACTAATGTAAACCACTTGATTCGATATTAATAACTTTTTGTATTAATCACACGTTACATTAACTGATGTAAGGACTTAGAAATGAAACTGTATTTAATTGAAAACATACTTTATTTCATAAACATCATCCATGGTTTCAGGCACACCAGTATACAGTTACACAATAGGTAACATCTATTGTAATGTTTATTTACTATTAAACAATCGCTAAACAGTGACATCATACATTTTCTTATTGTAGACAAGAACAAACATAATGGCACTAAAGTAGTCAAATTCGCCCAATGAAAGATAAAGTTTCCTATCACAGTTCACAATCATATTACTAACCGCGGCTCTCTTTTTTACATTAGGTACTTAAACATATAAAAGAAAAACATAACAATACAATAGACACACACACGTGCCTTCTTCACAAACAAAGCACACTTTAAAATTGCTAATGAGCACTCGCCTAAACTTGGCACACCACTCGAACCGCTTTAGAATACTGATTACAGCAAATGTTTGTCATATAAATGAGATAAAACCGACTAAAATGAGAAGGCGAAACCACTCTGAGAAACAGACGAAAGTGAATCTTTTCATGAAGTAATAACTTATAGACTTAACAATTTTACAAAAGACATACTGGACAATAAATAGCTAAGCAGTATGAGTTCGCTCTTATACATAATGGATTGGGCTAATTAAAATTTAACATTCATAATAAGTCTCGACGATTTGTGGCTTCGTTTTTTCTTGTGCAGTTTTTTTTCCTAAGTTTGATTTCTGTTTTATATACATGTATACCTTATACAAGTTTTTTTTGTGTCGACATGTAAATCGATTACCATTTCAAGTCGTCGCCTTTTCCGTTTCAACAATCGGTTGCGTAAGATCAGAAACGGGTTAGTCCTCCCCGGCGACTTGAAAAACAGGTTGGGACCAGTCAGCTCGGGGATGAGACTCGTCGGGCCCTGCCTTAACCTTTCTTTTGTCGGGCAAGAGATGAACTATTGTAAGGTGGACGTCGGGGCTCAATTGAGATACGATACAGTAGCATTTGTAAGAATTCCGTGTTCGGAATAACCAATGAGGATTATGATTTTGTAACTATTATATTGGATTACAAGGGGACTTTGTTTATAGTATTGTAAAGTACTATGGCTATTTGTGTCGTGTCATTGGATTCCACTACTTTATTACGATATAATTTATGTATATAAGGTTATCTTTTCAAGATATACGTTTTAATTTGATAGCTTGTTTTTTTATAGTAATGAAATAGTTTTTTTTAATAAATATTACAAATATTTATTCAGTGAAAGCATAGTCGAATCAGTTATTCACAAAGCATACAATAATGGCATTATCTTTGATAAGTTTAAAACCGAGGAAATAACTCTGTAGTAAAAACAAGAAAATAAATTTATTAAACAGTAAAGATAAGAGATATCAATGAAAATATGTATTATGTCATTATCTTAATTAAAACTTTGTTGCGTCATTATTAAGCTTATATTTTATTTGGACTTCCAAAATATATTTCAATTGAGAAGAAATAAAGAAAGTGTGCCACGCCCATCGTGGTACGAACGACCCGTTACTATAAAACATATCTCCCTGTTTAATTTTATCTGCAACAACTTTATCCAAAGTTATACTAACACATATCACAATGAGCAAATTTTAGTTTTTGGTTAGCACTTAGTACCACCAGACTGTTTTCAAAAATTCTTGGGATACGCCTACAGGGTAAATCGAATATTATATGATCACCGTGTAACATAGGCTTTATATTTTATTTAAATTAAAATTCTCGTCGCAATAACCACTGCAGACCGTGGCCGGTTTACAGAGAATACAGTAACAGGTTTCTATGCAATGATTCGCAAAAATATAACTTTACTAACTTTCTCACTGTCTTTGACGATATCTGTAATGGCTTTAAAGTTGCTTTCAATTTTATTATAAACATGTTAATTGCTAGCAATATAGTTCCCGACTGCTGCAGAAAGTAGTGTTCAAAAGTTTTGCCTTATTGGAAGAAAATTTCAATAGTCGATTTACTTATAAGAATAGGAAGTGATAAATAATGTAATATCTAAGTCACGATATTCTCCGTGGACTGAGCGACGCTAATGACTCATTCGCTCACAAGGCCAGCTCGCCGGCCGGCTTCACGTAGCAACCGAACCGCTTTTTTTTTTCTTATCAGTTTTTTTTTCGTTCTGTTTTTTACCAGTGTTATGTTGTTAGTGTTGCGAGATTGCAATATTCGCCTGCCACGACTCTATGTTTCCCTCGATTAACTTGCACTTCAAATATATCACAATTTCCAATTAGCTTCTGGTTTCAAACTTCAATTCGATTTTGTAAATCATCACTATATTCATTTTTAGATACTGGTTTGATCTAGTCGATTTCATAGATAATAAGATCGGTTTTATCTTGTCCATTTTTATATCTTAATGATTTAAGATTATCGAGTAATTAATTATCGTAATGATTCTTAAAATTCTGAAGATGATTATTATTATGGCTGTCGATAACGATGCTACGCTACTTTTATACCTACATATTGGATTTCAGACATATTATGACAAACATCTGATGTAATATTAGCAATGTATTGCTGTTGATACTGTTACATAAAATAACTTATTAAACTTGCTTTTATCATTCAACGCAATTGTCAAAAGGTTTTTATAAACAATTTTTATAAACAATTTCAGTTCTCTAACAAATTGTAACTACGTGTTATTAGGAAAAGTTCCTCTAGAAAAACAATATTTATCTTTCGTGAATTCACAAGGTTCATATCACTGTATCGTGACGAACATAGGTAGGTACGTGGTGTATCGACTTTATCACAATTTTCTTATCTATAGTCGAGCGAAACGTACCCACCTTGGCAGCCGTTGCGGCGCCTGTAACTTACTATAAACACTGAATACATTTTCAATTATATCTACGGACATTATTGACATAAACCATTAAGACGTACAGTGATGAGATGAGAGTTGATAATTTAAATGAGAAATCAATAAAATTCAATTACAAAACCAATTACTGTTTAGGCTCTTACAACTTGTTCCAAATTAAATTAACACAGTCGGTTGCAAAAATAACACTTAGTACGTACCGTTGTAAGAACCTTCACATCACAAAACAAAGGCTTGCCGTTTCTAACTAGATTGTTATTTTTAAATTTGAGAACGTCAACACGCGCGTTTGATTATAGTACCGATTCGGTAAACGTTATTTTTAGTGGATTTCGGATTGATATTCCACTGGTAACCGACGGGAGTGGAACAAAGAAGCCGGCCGGCTTTTGGCAAAAAGCCGGTGCCGAGCGGCACGGACACGACCTCCGACTAGCGCGAACAGCGGCAACTGGCGCGCGGGGACCCCGCGCTCGCCCGCCGCCCGTCCTCCCTCACCCCCCGCCACTAGCATCTATATAACCGGCTGTTCGGCCCCGTATCGTCAGTCCGTCACACAGAGCGACAGGGTCGGGTGGGTCAAGCAGTGAGCCAAGGGCGAGTGACGAAGCCCTAAGGTTACGAGATCAGATCTGATGCAGTCGTGTTAATAAACCGGACATTTCAATTTCCCATCGATCTCTCCACGATTACTAGTCGCCGGTCGTGAAGCCGGTTCAGTGCGCATTTGCAGTACAAAAGAGACTTGTGATATTTTTCTAGCGTTTAAGTTCCGAAACGGAACGCTTTAAATTTTTTATCGTAATAAAAAGTGTACAATATAAGTAAAAATTTGGAAAACATGGAGATTCTACCTGTCAACAACCAGTTTAATGTGGGATTCAACAGTGAAAAATGTAAGTTTACTTTCTATTTTTGTGGTGAGGGAAGTTGCTTTCTAGCCGGATGTTGCTAGGCGGCGCGCGCAACAGTAGCCGGCTGTCGAATCCCGTATCCAACCGGCACAGCCTGAACCGAAGGGTTCGATCAGCTGACACGTCAGCTGTTTCGTGTTGCGCTCACTGCGCCTGTAATCATGATTAGATTCACTTTCTGATTTCAGTTAACTCTGTTGTTAGGTACATTTGAGTTTAAAATTTCAACTATAATATAGCCAAATTTCAAATCATATTCTTGTTGTTAATATTCTTATTTATAATACTTACAGTACGTATCATATAAAATTTCGATTCTTACATTAATTAATTAAAAAAAAAAATTGTTATAAGTAAAAAGTTGTCAAAATATCGCTATAAATATTATAACATTCAAAATTTTAATTTGCTTCTCTATTGTTGCAGCATGGAATGGGCCGACATGGCGGGAAGCGCCGATGCCGGTGCCGACGGAAGCGGCGCTGGCTCAGAGGCTCGAGCGGGAACTACGAGCCGCGAAGGGAGCCAGCGAGCTCGCCGCCGCGGAGGTGCTGGTGCCCGCGGAGCTGCTCGCCCGAGCGTCGCGGCAAACACTCGCGCTCGCCGAGGGGGAGCCGTGCGGGGCGCGGGGGGCGGCCGTCATCATCGACGTCGCCGGCAGGAGGCTCGCCGCCTTCAAGATAGACCCCAACACGCTCACCACGCACGAAATACATCTACATTTAGAACACGATTCAACGAACTGGACTAGCCTGTTGCCGCAATTCTTAAAGTGAGTGTTTCTAATGAAAATTGAAGATAACATTTTCATTTTGAAATCAAAAGGTTTTCATTTGTTTTTATATAATGACGTAACTAAAGAAATGTTTCTTTTTGTTTTAGAAATTTAACGCGGAGCGGCACCATCATAATCAGCCCACAGTTCACGATAGAAAAGAAGAAACTCTTCCGAGGCCAGGCCGAGTGAACCGCCTGTGATACAAGCGCGCGATTCGAGCGAGCCGACTGACTGCCCTCCTCGATATCTACGTATCGTTATTTTAACAAATATCAATATTATTATATGTATATTAATTATTATATATTTTTAATAAGAGAAAAAAGCACAGCGTGATATGTAATGTATAGATTATAGAGTAAGCGCGCGGAAGCGCACTTTAGTTAGCGCGCGGGCCGCAGCGCGCACGCAGCCGGTGGCAACTAGTGATGTGACATGCACTTTGTCAATGCAAAGTGTCGATGTCGATACTGTGCGTGCCGGCCGGCTGCGTGCGCGGTGCGGTTGCGGCGGCGCGCGGCGGCGAGCGCCGATCTCTCCCTGATGTTCGTCTCCCTGCCCACCGCTACGCCCGCCTCCCCGCGCCGCCTGTACTTATGTTAATCATTGTATGATGATTGTTTGTATTTTATTAATGAATATTTTAATGATTGTGAGTCGGTTGGACGCGTGAGTGGCGTGGCGGCGCTCGGTGCGCACCCCCTGATCTCAGTCGCCGCCGCGCGTGTGATACTGATACCCTGATCGATTTAGTCTTAGATATTATTTTTTGTTTCGAGTTCAATTCTATCTGAAGTTGAGTAGATGGTATATTTCATGTATCGTAATCGTATTTATTAGAGCGGCCTCCGTGGAGGCCGATGATATGTGTACGTTTTGTAATTGTACTAGTTCGTACATTTGTTTGTGATACTACTTTTGTAATGTATAAATTTAAATGGAGAAAATATACTTTTATGAATGAGAGAACACGCAAGCAGATTATGAAGTAGCCGTATGTGATGAGCGAAAGGAGGCAATATGGACGCGCGGGGCCTTGGGCCCCCTGCAAAGATCTCAGGTTACATTATTAATAGTTATAAAAAGTATTAAGTTATTTAAGTTAATATAAAGATTGTAATTTTTTGTAAGATTGTTTTCTATCGCCGCGCAAAGCAGCGTTATTGTAGTCCAGTGGGAGAAAAGTTGAGAGTACTATCAATACATGTTGTATAACTGACACTATGTTCATTGCAGTCAAATGCATTTCTTCATACAGTTTCATTGTTACATTAAATGTAATTCAATAGACTAACCGTTTTTTAAACGAAATCTAAATGTTTGTAGGGTCCAGTGTTTTGAACGCACAATATCATAGTACTAGAATTCACTTTCATCAAAAAATAATTAAAAATGCTACAAAAACATTTTACTTCTTGAAATCGACATATACAAAACTAACAATAATAATATATAAATGTATCAATTGTTTATAATTGATATTTATTTGATAAGTCGTAAACATTGTAGAAATTATTGAAAAAAAATACATAGTTTCAATAATCGAAGTCGTTGTTTTTATATTCCCCTATATGTATTTTATAATGCCACAGAACTCAGGAGTTCGTAAGCAATATACATAACAATAATTTATATTCAACGTCATCAACCGTTGCTTGCCCTTTAATAATAATTATGATCATACTCTTATGTTCTGGCAAGTGAAAATATGCCTGTCGGTACACACAACTCAAATACGTACACATACCTACCTAATAACTATAAAAAAAAAATATTATATTTGTAGAAAAACAAAGAAAACAACTAGCCACATTTCCATATATTACCATGAAATTAACCTGGCGATAAACAAACTAGAAGCGAGGTAATATACCTAATATAAATACATAGAAACTAGTTGGAACTGGTTTCGGTCGGCTTGTTTCGTGACCGTCTTATAGCTCTATTCAACACCGCTGCAATCCTGCCTCATTTCTATAGCTATTTACACGACAAGTTTTATCTACAATTACACATCCATAAATAATACATAATTAAAATGACATCTTATTATTACGTACATTTTAAAATGAGTTTATCCAAATGAAATATCTAGAATCAGTTATTAGGTATGGTTTAAACCAATATTGGAATCTGCTACGGAAATGTTGTATAAGTCCACTAGACCACGCCTCTCTTCAATTAAACTTTAGTGTTTGTGAAGATATTGCTTTTCCTAGATTGTTTAATTTGAGTTAATATGAGTCAATATCTTCGTGGTCTAACATGTATGAGACGTTGTGTTCTATACCTGTTTCATTAAAGTAACAAACACGATGCAATCACATTTATATCATACACAAGACACTTCCCACAATTTTAACCAGCGATTTCGGTCCTGTAAACTATTAACGGAACTCTTTAGAGAACAGATTCACTGCAATAAATCACAAATTTCATAGTAAACAATTCCAATTTCGGAGCCCGGTCCGTTCTCGACGGAAATTGTTTTATCGGTGCTTCTACGTAGACTGACTAAATTATTACTATGAAAGCAGCAAGCTTAGCATTAGGCTTCGAGAGATTTGTGGCTAGTGATTAATTATTTCACGCTGCGTTTTATTATCCACAGTGCGTATTAGATAAGCAATATCTGTATATGTATAAAAGTCATCTGAGTTTTTATCTAACATGTATTTTGTTCACTTAAAGACGTTAATCGAATTGCATAAAGTTTTGTATTTCTTAAAATCAATACCACATTTTCTTCCGGTTGTAGGTACTCGAGACAAGCTTTTATTGTCATATTGACAGTGAAAGAGTCAAGAAAACTGCATTTAGGTTTTATGTAACATCGGATTGTGTTTTCGGTACCACTTGGCACATTTTGTGCAAGAGGTAATTCTAAGACGAGGTAATTTGCGTCGGCTTAGCTAGCTTTCTAACCGCAATGTAGAACTACGTGATTGCGCTCGCAGCATTAGCTGACGCCATAGCGCGAAATGATTATCGATACTTTGATGCGAATGACATCACTGTTCAAAAGTAATCAGATATTAAACATAATAGATCTCTAAATACGTATAAATTAATATATTGTCTCGGTGTGTGTCATTGATAAACTTAGAAACTAATGAACCAAATTAAATTAAATTTCACATGTATCTGTATATTTGGTCTAATTTTAAAAATAGAATAGTTTTTATCTTGATTAATATCAAAATAATGAATAAAAACTTATTCAATCTATTAAAATTACTGAGTCTCAGCAATGCGCGGCTGGTTTACCTAGATATTCGTACGAATAAATAAGTACGTAGGTAATCGAGGGGTTAATTTAAATAGATAACTGACAAAGCTACCTTCTTTTTTTTCTTATTAAGTTTTATGTGTTTTTTGTAATCGTAATAAGAGTTTGCTCACACTATTAGATAAAGGTTTAGATAAAAATAAATGCAGAAAACTTAATCAAAAAATATTACGTCAATTTAATCCTAACAGTAAACTCTTATAAAAACTAATAATCATCATTTGTAACGTGCTACCAAATCGATTAGCTACGTCATTCACGCAAACAATAGTACAATATTTGCTTTGAATTTTGCAAACGGCTGGAGAAAACCATCAAACGCTGATAGGAAAATTGCCATTGCATCAAGCTGTAATTGTTTTAGAAAACATAGCTTTGTATGTTGCTGTTGCGATGCCGTATTTTAATGAGACTACAGACGCCATCTAGACTTGTGATATTGAAACTTCAAACATGAAACCGACCCCACTGGTTTTAAAACTCGATTTATTACATACTTATGCTTTATTTCGAGTAGTAGTTGCTTCGCTCCTTTAAATTGTTTGTGTAGGGCTTAGAGATGTAAGGTTCATAAAAATATCGATATATCGCTTCAAAAAGTCGATATATACAAAGCCGATACTTATCGATATCTTTTTGGGTTTTAAGTAAATTCAATTCGGTTTATCCTCTTATTATTCTTATTCTTACTTCGTTTATCCTCCTATTCTGTACCTACTCGCGTAGCATGTCGATCACCAAAACGTTTTGTCTGCACCCAAATGTCACTTTTCTCTAATGCACCCGTACGATACCTCACTATCCACGCGAGAAAACTGACGTTTGGTGTATACAAAACATTCATCGATCTTGTCATTCTGTACGTGTTGCTTTTAAAGAAAGGCGTTCAGAAGGCGTACTGGTCACAATAGGAACATGTCTTATTGACACTTTATTTTGAAATTAGATACAAATAATAATAAAAATCTACTTCAAAGTTCAAAACAAAAACTCAGGCCTATATAATAATGTCAGAATTCGTACAAAAATTTTTGAACAACTGATATATATATATTTATCCTTAGGATTTCATTCGACATGAGGTTTCGATATGTTTTTCGATATCAATGTAAAGTTTTTGGACGTCGATATATATCGGTTTTTCGATATATCGATGTATTCCTAGTAGGATTTATTTATAGTGCGTGACCTATGTAATTAATTAGGTAGTCAAACCTTTGTGTAATTTATTTGTACCCGAGTAAATGTGTGGAATTTACGACGATTACATAATACATTTAACAAAACCACCAAGTAAAGAAAGTTTTTGTCACCATTAAATATGAAATAAAATCAGCGTCGAATGTAGCGTCTAGCACAACTTCGTTCCACCATAATATTACCACAGTAGTAATAGAATTAAACTTATATACGCAAAATTCATATATAACCCTGATATCCATGAATCCAAGTGTGTGTGTGTGTGTGTGTGTGTGTGTGTGTGTGTGTGTGTGTGTGTGTGTGTGTGTGTGTGTGTGTGTGTGTGTGTGTGTGTGTGTGTGCGTGTGCGTGTGCGTGTGTGTGTGTGTGTACTCTTCGAGAATAATATAATAATTGCATCAACAACTAACAATAAAAAACGGATATAATAAGCACTGAAGTGCTCTAGATATTAACATAACAATAACACTAATCCAATATAGCTGAACTAACATTACGATGCTATTAATATATACGTATTACAATAATATTCTACGCTAATCAAGGGGAAACATATCCTAAAGAAACTTGTATAATTAGTTTCTTGTATTTTCACGCGCACTATTGATAAATGAAATAACTTTTAACTTATGTGAACACAGAACCTGTAGAGGGCCCGAAACGTCAATAAAACGAAATACAAACGCGAGAAAACCGTTTCAAAGTTTTTCCATTTATAAAATTAGTCTTCAATATTTTTTAATCTATATCTCTAAACTAACATCATAAAGAGAAAACATTGGAGACTAACACAGGCTATGATTGTAGGGATAGGGACTTTAGTTTGTTTGTCCGTCAAGCATTGAAGAATGATGGCGTTACATTGAGTTGAAATGTCGCGTGACGTCACGCTTTGGTACATTTTCTACAAAACTGTGACGTAACTAGCTCCCACTCCTCAACTTTAAAGCCTATTGACTAAGTTATTTCTTGTTTGCATTGAAGCAAAAGAATACGTATCTAATGTTTTACTGTTATCTTTTTTTACCCAGTACTACTTTTTATATATAGTACTTTTTTTACTATTATTATTATTTTACCCAGTCGTCACCCCTCATCCATTATCGCGGGTGAAGTCGCCGAAGAACAGCCAGTATCAAATAAATATAAATTAACCACAAAATGTGTCGCTAAGCGCAAAACTTGACAATGACTGAATAAAATCTGGTATTTATACATCTGGTAGTATTTTTTCTCTTTATAAAAATTGCTTAAAGTCCGAGGTAAGTTCTCGGAGGCGAAAAATGGAGGAAAATTGGTATTAGATGGTTCCTCTGTCCTTTTCGATCTCATCGACTGGCCGGTTGGTTTTGCTCTTGTTTTATCTTTCTCGTACACTCAACCTTAAGTTAACCGTGAATAAAACTATAGTTTATTATTTAATCTTAAATTACGCTTAATATTGTGCCAACCGCAATAAGGGCAGTGTGTAGGTAATGCAAAATACTGAAATATTCACTTAAACAACAAATCATCATTATTTTACATTTCATGTCAAGTACATACAAATGACATAACACTGAATATCATATGTCAATATATTACATAATATTGGATTACATAATGTGTACTAAAGTTCATACGATGTCAAAGAAAATATTTTCATTAATCATCACATCACTCACCGGGCAGTGGCATTTGCCCTAAATTATTTTTAAAATAAAAAAAAACAATCAATTCATTTCGTTCTTGAGCTACATCGACGTTTAGGAATTTTTCTCCTTGTCATCACTTTAATAACGTTCCCACTGCTGGGCCAGAAGTGGGCAGAAGCCTTCAAACAGTGTCGACTTCATACTCGACTAAATCAGACAAGGAGGTTATGTTTATCAAAACAACTGGGTTTTATATACTAACTATAGTATTATCATATTCATTTGATTATTCTATTTATATCTATTATCTTATCGGTCGAGTCGACCTGCAATGTCTGTGTGATAGGTCTCGATTACCCAACAATGGATACTTTGAGTCCGTCGCCCTTGGATTAAGCTGGATGTAAATAACTTATCAATATAAAA